CCAAGCCATGGTATTTTCAATAACCTCATATGGATGCGAAAGCTGGACAGTGAATAAGGAAGATTGTAGAAGAATTGATGCCTTTGAATTGTGTTGTTGGAGGAGAATACTAAAAGTGCCATGGGCTTCCAAAAGAACTGTTTTGGAAGAAGTGCAGCCAGAGTGCTCCTTGGAGGCCAGGATGGCTAAGCTTCGTCTCTCATACATTGGACATATTGTCCAGAGGGAACAGTCGCTGGGAAAGGATGTCATGCTGGGTAAATTGGAGGGTCAGAGAAAAAGAGGAAGACCCCCAACGAGATGGATCAGCCAGGTGGCATCATTGATGGCATCGAGTGTGGCAGCAGTAATGATATTGTTTCGTTCTGCTGTGCATGGTGTCGTTATGAGTTTGTTCCGACTCAATGGCACCTGACAACAACATTCTTTTTGTTGGGTTAAAGAAAAGCATATGAGTTCTGTCATAGAGAAGGAAGGGACAGCATTTTGAAGTGCTCATGGTAAAGGTCAAGTGATTTAAAATATTAATGAGATTTAATATAAGATTTATGTAGTAGAACCCTATTTGAGATTATAGCAGAAGAGGGGTAGGAACAGTAATCTTTGAGTACCTATCATGCACCCGACATTGCCTGTGAGGGCCTTTTACACCATCTCAGTTCATCCTCACATTCCTACTGATGGGTAGGTTTTATTACCACCATTGGGAGTAAAGTAATCAAGTCCTGGTGTGGCATTGCAGGTTAATTCACTGGACTGCAAAGTTGGTTTGAACCACAAGGTTTGTGGTTCTTGCTCACTGGCTGCTCCTTGGACACCCTATACAGGGTCGCTGTGAGTTGGAACCAACTTGACGGCACTTAACAATAACATACTTCTAATATTCTCACATACTGTTTGGAAATAGCATTAGAGTGGAAATAACTTGAATGCAAAAAAATAGATTCAAGAATTAATATATGTTTTTTGCCACTTTCTAGACTTAAATAAAATGGATGGATTTGGTGATTCTACAAAAAAAGACACAGAGGTAAGTGATTGTTACCAGCTAGAAATGTAAACTGAAATAGCTCTTAAATTTTAAAATTGGGTTTTATCCTTATCTTTCATGGTGTACTATCTCAAATGGATTTGATATGAGGGGGTTTCAAAAAGCTCGTGGGAAAATTCCATTATCTTTTACTTTCATTTTTCCATGAAGTATTTTAAGCCTCTTGTACACCCAAGGTAGCTTTTGGGTGGACAGTTTTTGGTTGGTCTTTAATGTCCGCACTGGTGCTTTTTTCTTTTTTATGAAATAATGTGTTTTAAAGCTAATACATATGTGTATTGTTAGTTGTTTGAATGCAGAGAAGTAAAATGAATGCTCCTGTAAGATGAGATATTGCTGTATCATTACTTTATTATAAGAACATACTATAGAATAGTGTGTTAATATGCCATAAGATGATATGAAAATAAGTCATGTGCTCATTTGGTGAATAGGAAAATGGAGACAAAGATAATTTGATACTTTATAGGGAAGGAAAGTGAGTGTTTGGTTTTAGGGAACAGAGTTTGAAACAAGTTCAGTTTTTCACTGTTCATTAGTTAGTGAATGAAGTTGTAGAAAATGCGTTCACATGTTTCTTTGTGTGTGTTCGTGTGTCCACATTTTCTTGGAGTAGCATTTGAAAGTTTGTTGATCTTGAACTATTTCACTCTTTGTTTTCTCCAGTAAACTGAGTATTCTCCATGATTGTTTCCTTTTCAGACAGTGAAACATGACACTGCTGCAGTTCAGCATTCCATTGAGAGTGTTTTCACAGCACGGGGAGACCTCGATTTTGCTGAGCAGCTGTGGTGCAGAATGAGCAGTAGTAGGTGGCCATTCTGATGGCAAAATAGAGTTTTTCCTATTACTCCTTTGGTTTACTTTTAAGTCTTGCATGGAGTTATGGTTGTAATTGTATCAAATCCATTTTTGCATTGACACATTCTGCTCAAGAATTATACTAAGACAAGGCAATTTATAGGAGTTATTCTTTTCTGGTTTTTGGATACAAGACTTAGGTGGTTATTATGCTGTACTTATATGAACCGAAGGAGCCTTGGTGGTGTAGTGAGTTATGTGTTGGGCTGCTAATCTCAAAGTCTGTGGTTCCAACCCACCAGCCACTTAATGGGTAAAAGATGAGGCTTCCATAAAGATTTACAGTTTAAGAAACCTCTAGGGGCAGTTGTACCCTGTCCTATAGGGTCACTGTGAGTCGGAATTTACTCGACAGCGGTGGGTTTTTATGAGCCAAAACATACACTTAAGTGAAATGGGAATTGTTAGAAAAAAGAAAAGATATTCCTTATTATTTTACTAATTGTATTCTTTTGTGCCAATTTGAGTTTCGATTTCTTTTTTTTTAAATGTGTTAAGTTTTTTTTGCCCTCATTCATGTTTTTTTTCTTCTTATCTTCATTTATAAAGTATAGATACTAGTCTTCTACATTTGTGTATTCAGAATATTAGTGATCTATTTGATCTGCAGAAATGCCATGAAAATAATGTTGAAATGATTTGTTTCTCAAGGCGTGGTTTCATACCAAGACTTGGTGAAGTGTTTTACATTGATTATCCAGAGTCTACAACGTGGTGACATACAACCATGGGTAGGTTGAGGAGTACGTGCATAACCGTTTCTTAGCACTACAGCGCAGTGGTTACAGGCTTTGGAACAGAGTGCTTGAGCTTGAATTAGTGCCCAGCTGTGTAACTTTTGTAAGATTCCTTTAACTTTCTATGCCCAGCTATCTCATCTGTAAAGTAGGAGTAAGAATAGTAGCTATCTCACAGTGCTGTTTTGAGGATTACATAACTTATTAATGAAAGTGCCTAATACTAACTCATAGGAGGGTACTAATATTGTCATCATTATTGTTCTGTGAATGATCATTCTCATAGATCACTGATGAGAGTATAAATTGCATGCTTTATATAAAAAGCAATTTTGATAATGTATTGCGATCCTTAAAATGTATCATGCCCTTTGATCCAGTGACTCTTGCTGGGATCTGTCGTAAGCACATGAACAGAAATACAGCAAAAGTCAGAGTCTGTTTAAGGAGGAAACCTGTCAGAAACGGGGAACTCCTCCAATGTCTCCCACTAATGGAGAGAATAGAAAAGTGGAAAGATGGTACCCTGTCAAAGGTAGGAAACTTGTGAGACCTGGGAAAACAAGGCAGTCCTGTTACGTTCTGTCTCTCTCAGGTTTCACTGTGTATATCAAGATTTTATGTATGAGAATATTCATCACAGCTTAATTCTTGGTAGCAAAATGTTGTGTATGACCTGAATATCTACTCTTAATGAAATGGCTAAGTAAACAATGATGTATCCATATAATGGTATAGTAATCATTGCTGAAAGTGATGCTGACAGTTTTTAATGACGTGGACAAGTGCTCATAACGTTCAGTACAAAGAAAGAAGTATTCACAATTGTGTTTTACAAAATGTAAACTTAGAAGGGAAAAACTTCACCAAAAGAAGGAAAAAACCTCTCCAAAGTAAGTGAATATGCTAAATCACCTATAGTGGAAGGGTTATATATGATTTTTTTTTTTTAATTAAAAGAAATATTTTGGTGAAAATACACATACACCACACACAAAATACACCCATTCAACCGTTTGTTACATGTATAGTGTACCATGACAGTGCTTACATACTTCACATTGTGTCATCATTTGAATTTTTGAATTGAATTTTTCTCTAGAGTTTGCCATTTTTGTGAGCTGTGTATGGTTAAAACCCTGCAGTGCACCTAAGTACTAAAGAAGTGAAAAAAATAAAGAGAAAGGGGAAGGAAGAAAAGTATAAAGAAAATTGATGAAAAGTAGAAACTAACTAGACAGTAATGAGGAAATGACAAATATTTTATGTGTGTTTAAGTGACTTATTTAATATTTGGAATACATGTTAGAGCTATGAGTCCATGACTCTACTTTGTAAATTATGTCGTTAGCCTATTGGATAAGGTAGCCAAAGAGGAGTTCCTTAGGACACATATGTGGACCATTCAGGGAGAGGGACAGATTTTCAGTGTGGATGGATTTGGAAAGGATACCTCATAGCACTTAAATCATCTAAAAGAGGAAAAGAGAATGCCCAATTGTAATGCTTAATGGACGTGCTCTGACTTGTCTTTGGTAGAATTGTATTTTGTGAAAGGCGCCCTGGTTGCACAGTGGTTAAATACCTGACTGCTAACTAAAAGGTAGGTGGTCCGAACCCACCCAGCAGCTTTGTGGGAGAAAGACCTGGTGATCCGCGTCTGTAAAGATCATAGCCAAGGAAACCTATTTGTCAGTTCTTCTCTGTCACATGGGGTTGCTGTGCATCAAAATTGACTCAATGGCACCCAACAATAGTCAGTTGCCACTCATGACAGTCCCATTTGTACAGAGTAGTAGAACTCTTTGTTCTGTTTGGTAAGACTCACCTTTCAGAAGCAAATCTCCAGGCCTGTCTTGTGAGGTGCCTCTGTGTGGTCTTAAACTACTAATCTTTCGGCCATTAGTCAAATGCTAAACTGGTTGTGCCAATCAATCCGGGGTGTTAAATTTAAAATCTTAGTTTCTTTGGACTTAACAAGTGAGGTTAGGAATAAAATTTTAGAAATTGACATACTTGTAATTTAGGGGGTTTTAAAATAATTTATAGTGTCAGGAGACTAAGAATGTAAGCTTACAATTGTTAGCATGTAACTAATGTAATTTTCTTTTATTGTGCCTATGAGATTTGTTTATGTTTTTATTTTTGGTTTGATAAAGTTTTTTTGATTTCTAGCTCCATAGTGGGAGTAGCAGTTTACTGAGTAAGCTAATTCATCAGTCTTATCACGGAACCATGGACACAGTTTCTCTCAGTGGGACTACTCCAGTTCAAATGCTTTTGGAAATTGGTTTGGACAAACTCAAGAAAGATTATATCAGTTTTTTCCTAGGTAAGTCACAGGTGTCAGCCATAGAGAATCTCAGATTTTTCTCTTTCTACTTGTCCTGACTTTGCTCCTGGATCTCTGTGAGACAAATACTCCCACTCTCTGAGCCATAGTTTCCCCTTATGGAAAGATATTAAAGATAACTGTAGTTTGTTTTTAGTTCAAACATTTTGAAATTCTATGAGATTAATGTAATAGGTTAAAAACTCTTGTATTAGATACTATTTTAATACCCAATACTTCGTTGTTTTTATTAGAAGCTAGTGCAAAAAAAAAAAAGAAAAAAAATGTAACACCAAATCATCCCTCCAACAGCCATTTCTATTTCAGCTAGGTTCAGTAATCCATTACAGTGGCCCCACAGAGCTCAGGTACCATACTCACAGTGATGGGGTTTGTTAGGGAAGTTAACAGGCGACAATGTGGGATCAGACCATGCTCAGGGCTCAGTTCTTCCTGTCAGGACAGCCTCTCCTCAGCTGGGAAGCCCACTGCTCTGTCGTGTACTCTGGTCCTTGGTTCTGCGTGCTCCTCTGCTACTCCTGCCGTGTCACAGCTTCCCATCCCTGCGTTGAGGAGGCTCAGTGGGTCCAAAGGATGTACTCCACTCCTGGCTCTTCTTTAATGGTAGTGAGATCCCCCTCCTGCTTCTGAGATGGCTCATGTTATACTCATAGTTTCAAGTTTTTACAGCTACAATGAACTCTGCTAACATCCACAGCTGAATTATGTCATCCTATCAGTATCTTGCCCCACCTTTTCTTACCCAAACCCAGCAGAGCAGAAACATTGTTTGGTGGGAGTTACAGACAATGGCTGGAAGAGACTTTAGATAATTCACTATGCCACTAGCTCTGATAACTTTTAGAATAACTAATAGCATATATTTGTGGTGTAATTTGTCAAAACTTTGGGCTTTTCTGTAGTACTATGTAGCTTGAGCATCTCTTTCATGCTTAAACTATGAAAATTTTCATTCAGGTTTCTTAAAATGTAATTGACAGTAGCTAATGCTTAATTATATACATGCTTTTTTTCTTAATAGGCCAGGAACTTGCATCTTTGAATCATTTGGTGAGTTAATTTTTTTATTCTGCAGATGATTTTTCTTACATTCGGTCATTTTCACGTGGTTATTATGTACCTGCAGTTCTGTACTAAGTCCTGTTGTTAAGTGCCATCAAATCAGTTCTGACTCCTAGTAAACCTGTATAGGGTTTCTCAGGCTGTAAATCTTTGCAGGAGCAGAAAGCCTCATCCTTCTCCCACAAAGTGACTAGGGAGCTCAAACCACTGACCTTGTGGTTTGTAGTCCTGGGCTTATCCTTCAGAGTCACTGAGCACCTGTACTAAGTCCTAGGAAACAGTTAAGTAAGACAGTCCATGCCCTTAATTAGTTTCAGTTTAAAGTTCAAAAAAAAGAAAAATGGTTCGGTCAGTGTCATTTCTCCTTTTCATGACACTAATATAAAGTAATATAAAGGACATGTAGTTGTGTCATGCTCAAGGCAATGTGCTGCCACAACTCACTTACCTTGAATGGCTTTGGAATCAAAAAATAGTATTTTAGTGCCTTTCTTCGATAGACCTGGTAGGTAAGTAAATGTTTGCTTTGTGTTTTGTTGACCTATTTATATTACACTTAAAAGTTTACTTTCCAAAGAATTATCTTTTTTTTTTTGACAAGCTATATCATAACTTTATTAAATAAAAGTAACAGGCACTTAACATTTAAGAGAAAAACTGACTAGAAGAAATTTGAAACACCTTACAGCAATCTACTTCAAGTTGCATTTAACTACAAGTGAAGAATACAGCTCATACACAGGTATGGATGAATTATTTGTACAGTTTCACGTATTCACTAAATACTACCATATATACATATATGTGGATCATGACAAGCTATGGACAACATTGCGAAGTATGAGTATTCTGGAACATTTAATTGTGTTCATGAGGAACCTGTACATAGACCAAGAGGCGGTTGTTCAAACAGAATATGGGAACACTGAATGGTTTAAAATTAGGGAAGGTATGAGACAGGGTTGTGTTCTTTCACCATACTTATTCAACCTGTATGCTGAGCTAATAATCCAAGAAGCTGGGTTCTATGAAGAAAAACGTGGCATCAGGATTGGAGGAAGACTCATTAACAACCTGCGATATGCAGATGATACAACCTTGCTTGCTGCAAGTGAAGAGGGCTTAAAATACATACTGATGTAGCTCAAAGACCACAGTCTTCGGTATGGATTGCATCTCAATGTAAAGAAAACAAAAATCCTCACTACAGGACCAATAAACAATGTTCTTATCAAAGGAGAAAAGATTCAAGTTGTCAAGGACTTCATTCTTCTTGGATCAGTCATCAATACTCATAGAAGTAGCAGTCAAGAAATCAAACGACATATTATATTAGGCAAATCTGCTGCACAAGACCTTTTTTAAAAAACTTTTTAAATGTGTTATTGTGAATGATGTGATAGTTTACATGGGAGAACATTAGCTTTACATTCATCCTATCATATATCGTTATATTGCCATGGTTACAGTCCCATCCATGCATCATCAAATAACCAAAGGGTACACCCTGCAAGCCTGCCACCCTGGTCATTAGTACACAGCCCCTCTCCCTCTCTGGGTCTAGAGTTCCAGCTGCTCCATCTCTCCACATTACCGTCTGCCTCCATATCTGGCGTCACTGTTTCTCTGGGTAGGGTCCCGCACTCCATTCTCCCTTGATGGTCCCTGGGGCCTCCACTCCTGGCCTGCAAAGTCAACCACTCCCTTCCTTTTGCTACAAAACGTTTACCTTTACAATTCCAACCCTCACAGTCCGTCCTGACAGTAATTATTCACTATTGTACCACATGAGTGCTATCCCCATCTCCTTTCATCAGTCCCGCCCAGACAGATTGGATATTACTCAGTGGAGATTTTACCTTCCTCTATGCCCTCTGGATCTTGGCTCCCTCTTGAAAGCTTGTAAGCCAGTCTTTTGTATCCCTCCTCCCCACCCCCATTTTCGGTAGCCAATGTCCAAGTTGCTCATCCCTGTCAACCCTGTATATGGAGGGGGTGGGACTGATTCTTGCTGTAAAGATTTGTTCCCTTTTTTGAGCTACTGCATCCATAGTCCTCTGTGGCTATATCACTGACTCTGGGCCAAAGAGTCCTCAGATCTTGCCAAACTGCTGGCCAACCAGGTCTCCACCCAGGTTCACAGGAGTCTGTTGAACATGGTTGGACTTATTTTGCAGCTTCATTGCCATTTTTCTCTCACTTCCCCTAATTGGTAACCAACTTGGTCACCAGTCAGAGCACATACATGTCTGTTTGTGTATTCCCATTGAGTCTTAGTCTTGGAAGGGAGTTTGCCCTGAGGGATCTTACTGCTTGCCCTGATGGCTCCTGGGCAGGCAACTTGTTTGTTCTTGTAGTAGTTAGTCAGACTGCTGTTATTGTTTTATATTTTTCCTGTCAGTCTTTCTTTCAAGAAGTATCCTCTGTTCTTCTAGCTGCTTGTCTGCTTGAAAATTTCCCACCTCAGATGATTCTGGATGGGGTTCAGGATTCCACCTATGGTCTTATGCAATACAGAGGCTCCACGGGAAGCCTCTTTCACTGGGCAAGTTGTAGCCCCATTTTAGGTGTTCCAGTTAGTTGCACCAACCACTAAAGCCAGTGAGGATGAAATAGAAGAATTCTACCAATTTCTTCAATCTGAAATTGATCAAACATGCAATCAAGATGTATTGCTCATTACTGGTGATTGGAATGCAAAGGTTGGGAACAAAGAGGAAG